AAAAGATGTGAAAGACTCTACAAGGAAAACTATAAACTTCTGAAGAAAGAGATTGAGGAAGACTATAGAAAGTGGAGAGATCTCCCATGCTCATGGATTGGTAGAATCAACATAGTAAAAATGTCTATACTCCCAAAAATAATCTACATGTTTAATGCAATTCCATCAAAATTCCAATGACATTCATTAAAGAGATTGAAAAATCTACTGTAAATTTATATGGAACACAAGAGGCCATGAATAGCCAAGGCAATACTCAGTCAAAAGAACAATGGCTGGAGGTATCACAATACCTGACTTCAAACTATATTACAAAGCATAACAATAAAAACAGCATGATACTGGCACAAAACAGACATGAAGACCAGTGGAACAGAATAGAGGACCCAGATATGAAGCCACACAACTATAACAACTTGTCTTTGACAAAGGCGCTAAAAATATACGATGGAGAAAAAGCAGCCTCTTCAACAAAAACTGCTGGGAAAAGTGGTTAGCAGTCTGCAAAAAACTGAAACTAGATCCATGTATATCACCCTATACCAATATTAACTCAAAATCGATCAAGGATCTTAATATCAGACCACAAACTCTAAGGTTGATACAGGAAAGAGTAGGAAATACTCTAGAACTAGTAGGTATAGGTAAGAACCTCTCAATGGAACCCCAGCAGCACAGCAACTAAGAGATAGCATAGATAAATGGAACTTCATAAAACTAAAAAGCTTCTACTCATCAAAAGAAATGGTCTCTAAACTGAAAAGAACACCCACAGAGTGGGAGAAAATATTTGCCAGCTACATATCAGACAAAGGACTGATAACCAGAATATATAGGGAACTTAAAAAACTAAATTCTCCCCAAACTAATGAACCAATAAAGAAATGGGCAAGTGAACTAAACAGAACTTTCTCAGAAAAAGAAATTCAAATGGCCAACCACTCTGGAAAAAAATTTGGAGGCTTCTTAAAAATCTAGACATTGATTACCATATGATCCAGCAATACCACTCTTGGGGATATACCCAAAAGACTGTGACACAGGTTACTCCAGAGGCACCTGCACACCCATCTTTATTGCACCACTATTCACAATAGCCAAGTTATGGAAACAGCCAAGATGCCCCACTACTGACGAATGGATCAAGAAAATGTGGTATCTATACACAATGGAATTTTATGCAGCCATGAAGAAGAACGAAATGTTATCATTCGCTGGTAAATGGATGGAATTGGAGAACATCATTCTGAGTGAGGTTAGCCTGGCCCAAAAGACCAAAAATATGTTCTCCCTCATATGTGGACATTAGATCAAGGGCAAACACAACAAGGGGATTGGACTTTGAGCACATGATAAAAGCGAGAGCACACAAGGGAGGGGTGAGGATAGGTAAGACACCTAAAAAATTAGCTAGCATTTGTTGCCCTCAACGCAGAGAAACTAAAGCAGATACCTTAAAGCATCTGAGGCCAATAGAAGGGGACCAGGAACTAGAGAAAAGGTTAGATCAAGAAGAATTAACCTAGAAGGTAACACACATGCACATGAAATCAATGTGAGTCAACTCCCTGTATAGCTATCCTTATCTCAACTAGCAAAAACCCTTGGTCCTTCCTATTATTGCTTATACTCTCTCTTCAACAAAATTAGAGATAAGGGCAAAAATAGTTTCTGCCAGGTATCGAGGGGGTGGGGGAAGAGGGAGGGTGCGCGGGGGGGGTAAGGGAGGGGGTGAGGCAAGGGGGGAGAAATGACCCAAACATTGTATGCACATATGAATTAAAAAAAAAAAAGACCAATTTTCAAGGACAAAAAAAATAAAATAAAATGAAGTTATGTAATTCTGATGAGGAGATCAGCTTTTAGCACAGTGACTCAGGCCTGTAACCTCAGCTATTTGGAAGTCAGGATCACAGTTCAAGGTCAGACAGGACAAAAAGTAAGTGAAAGCCTACTTCAATCAATAGCTGGACATGGTGGTGTGCATTTGTCATCCCAGGTAAGCAGAAGGCCTAAGTAGGAGGATCACAGTCCAGGCTACCCAGGTCTAGACTAGGCACTAGTGAACCTAACACAAAACTAAACGGCTGGGGACTTGGCTTGATCAGTAGAGCACCTGCCAAACAAGCTCAAGACCTTTAGTTCAAACCCTAACCACCAAAAAAAAAAAAAAAATCAGTGGAGATATTACCTTAAAAATCATGTCAAAGTTGTACTGTTCAAAGTCCAATTTCCTACATCTACTACTTGGGAAATAAAAAAGAGGTTAAGACAGCATGGTGACTCAAGCCTGTAATCTCAGCTCAAGAGGCAGAGGTGGAGGATCATGGTCTGAGGCCAGCCTCAGGGAAAAGCACCAGACTCCATCTGAAAAACAAACTAAAGCCAAAAGGGCTAGGGTTATGACACAAGTGCAAGGCCCAGAGTTCAAACCCCATTACCTCCAAAAAAGAAAAAAAAAAAAGTACAGAAAGAGAGGATACGGGGTGATAACCAGGCACTAGTGGCTCATACCTATAATCCTATAAGCTCAGGAGGCAGAGATCAGGAGGATCACAGTTTGAAGCCAGCCCTAGGCAAATAGTTCTCAAGACCCTATCTCAAAAAAAAAAAAAAAAAAATCACAAAAAAGAACTGGTGGTGTGGCTAAAGGGGTAGGCCGAGTTCAAACCCCAGTACCGCAAAAAAAAAAAAAAGAGAGGTAGCACTGCCAAGTTCAGAATTTAAGCTCCTCCTTAGAGCAGAACACTGACTTTTTATCTATAACAAATGTAAAGACAGAAAGTGCACTAAAGATCAATCTTCATATGAAACTTTATAAAATATAATCTCTCTTCGTTTTGTCTAGGGGGGGAGAAAATAACAGGAAAACAAGATGAAATTCCAACTCTTTTATTATGACTAGGTTGGAACAGTCCAAAGAGAAAAGAGAAGTGATGTAGTTTAAAAAAAAAAAGTTTCCATTAAGAATTTTTATAAGCAGTACAATGCCTGCTTCCAAGTGGGAAACCCTGAGTTCAAACCCCAGTTCCCCTACCCCACCACACAAACAAAAAGAACTTATGATAAACTGGGCACAAATGGCTCAAGCCTTTAATGCTAGCTACTTGGGAGGCTGAGATGCAGAGGACTGTGGCTCAAGGCCAGCCTCCATAAAGAATTCTTAACACAAAGACACCATCTCCAAAATAACCAGAGCAAAATAGACTGGAGGTGTGGCTCAACCAGTAGAGGCCTGCTGTGCAAGTGTGAAGCCCTGAGTTCAAACCCCAGTCCCATCAAAAAAGAAAAAAAAACAAACCTTATGATAAACCTGGCATGGTGGTGCACTCTTGTAATCCCAGCACTCAGGAGGCTGAGGCAGGTGATCATGAGTTTGAGGATGGTCTGGACTACATTGTGAGACCCTGTCACTAAAAATACTGTGGGGAGGGGAGCTTAAGATAGTTTAGTCTCAATAGCCTAAATTCTTGAAGGAAACCTTTGAGTCCCTGGGTAGAACTTTTAAAATATAGATTAGATTTTTGCTTAGAACCTCCCAATAGTCCTTCACTACACAAGGAACAAAATACTAACACCAATGATCTATATACCTCATACCAGGTCCCTCATAGGAATTCTGCAGCATTCCTCCCTCCAAACCTTTGAAAAGCTGGCCCTTCCCTGTTTAGTTTTCTGTCAAGCATCCTCCTCAGAGAACTTCTCTAATTCCTGACACAGTATCCTCCAACTCCAGTTCACCCAACGGTGTCACTGCTCATTTATTTGTCTTCATGGTATTTGGCACTACCTGAAATGACTTTATTCTCATTTACTTGTTTGTTCTGTTATCCCATCTAGAATGTAAGGTCTATAAAACAGTGCCTTGAATGTAGAATGTAGTCAGTTATTTGCTGAATAAATAATGAATGAGTGAATGGGAAGGGAGTTTTGTTACCTGAAACATTCTACTCAAGGTCCTCTACTGATTAAGGATTAAAATAACCCACTAGCAGTGAATGACTAACATATTACTGAAACTAGGGAGCTGGCGGAGTGGCTCAAGTGGCAATGTGCCCCCCCTCCAAAAAAAGACTGGAATTACGCAATTGACTATTTATAAAGAATATTCATTCTGGGCTGTGGGTGTGTCTCAGGTGGTAGAGCATCTGCCTAGCAAGCATGAGGACCCAGTATCACCAAAAAAAGAAAGGATATTCAGTTTATGTTTAGTGCTTAATGTTAGCTGTTTTAACATAAAACTCTGAAACTCTGGTTTGTTGTTGTTGTTTCCCTAACTAGAAAAACTTAGCAATATATCACAGTTTTATTTAGGTTTTTTTTTTCCTTGGTACTGGGGTTTGAACTCAGGGCCTACACCTTTATCCACTCCACCAGCCCTTTTTTTGTGTTGGGTTTTTTGAGATTGGGTCTTGTAAACTATTTGTGCAGGCTAGCATCGAACCTCCATCTTCCTGAGTAGCTAGGATTACAGCTAGGTCTGTGAGCCACCGGTGCCGGCTGTGTGTGTGTGTTGCTGGGGACTAAACTCAGGGCTTGGTGCATGGTCGGCAAGGACTGTACCACTGAACTACATCGTTCCCAGCCTAACATATCTACTGTTGATAAAACAAAAAAAATACACCTCCAACAACATGCCTAATTAAATACAATGATCAAAATACCACCGAAATGGTCCTGCAAAATTAACCCCCAGAGAGTTCAACAATCTCTTAAGTAACGAACTTGCAAAATCTGGAGCAACGGAGAAGAAACGTAGTAGGCATGACGTGCTTAGCGGTCCACATCACTCTGTTAGTAAACTGGCATACCTTTCATTTTGCAGATTAAGGGAGTCGTGACTACCAAATTAAAATCCTCCTAAAAAATGCAATAGTGTAAGATATTGGCTAACTGAAAAAAATTGATACTGAAAAATTCAAACATTCTGCGGTGTGCTGAGTACATTCACCAAGGCAGTGGTTCTGCACCTGTCCTGCTGTCCCCATTGCATTCATTACCTTTGGATATGCTATGGCAGGCCCTCTTTTCATCAACAATACATAGTCTTCCAGTGCCGGCCTCCTGAGCATGAAACGCTTACCCGTGGAACTCGACAGTATCTGGCCGGGAAACTTCCCCACTATCTTGCTGAACGGGACCGCCCCCCAGCTACTATTTAAGTATCCGACGTTGCTCAACCTAAACAATTTCTTAAATTGTGTTTCTCTCTTCCCAGTCTCAGCTAAAATCAGCTCCCCAGCCCGAAAGGGTCCCTCTCTGGAAACTGAGCAGGAAGGGGAGACGTGAAGCTCTGCGGGCTCGGTGGCGGACTGGGCGAGGGCGGGCAGCGAGCGATCTCCAGACTCCCCGTGCGCGGGCCTGGGCTGGCCCTGCTCTTCGCTCGAGTCCTCCCGCGGCGTCGAGACGCTGAGGCTTTCCAGTGACGAAAGACACCTGGTCCCCGTGCCCAGTAGAGGGAAAGACGGGGACGACTCCACTCCGGCGGCTTTCCTTCGTGCCGCCTTGCGCGCGCTCTCTCCATCTCGCGCATCTCGAGCCGAGGACTCGCAACACAGTGACCGGACTTCTTCCAGGGGCTCCAGACCAAGACCGCGCAGGAAAGAACTTGTCCCGAGCACCGGCCACCTCCTCAGACGCTGCAGCCTCAGCAGATCGCCACCGCAGCGCCCGGCCGCCAGCATGACGTCTCGCAAAGGTGTGGTCGCAGGTGAGTGACGTAACCCCGATTAAGGCCCCGCCTCTCGCTGCTGGGCTCACTGACCCGGCTGAGGTTCCATAGCAGCTACTGCGCCTGCGTCCAGAAAGGCGCGATGGGCGGAGCCTGAGGTCGCGAGGGCCGTGGGGCTGAACGCTGGCACCTCTCTTCCTCTCTCGCATGTGGGCAGAGTTAGAGTTTGCCGCTCGTCTATCTCCGCCAGCCGTGCCCGGGGACGGAAGCGTTCAGACGAAATTTGTTAAAGTGCTCCGTAAACTGTGAAGTGTTCTAGTAATTGTCAACACGAACGTCACCCGTCGCCCCCAAGGTCTATAAGTAAAACTAACCCCGGGATGCGAGTGTCGCGCCGCTCGCTGACCGCGACATCCTTCCCCAGCCCCTGCAAGTCCCTTTCCCTGGGCTGTGACCAACTTCCTGGTCTCTGCCTCTCCCTCTAGAGAGAGTCCAGAAATGCGAGGTTTTCAATGTGGGCTTATGTAACATTTTCTTCCGGTATGGTGGTTTGAACTCAGGGCTTGCGCTTGATGGGCAGGAACTCTACCACTTGAGCCACACATTTAACTACGCTACAAAATTTTTTAAAGAATTGAAATATAACACTTTTAGCCTTCCCCAAAACTTAAATATATGCTTCTTAAGTCATGAAAAGTTACCTTTGCAGGCTCAAGTTAATATCAAATATCATTAGCCTCTCCCCTCATAGTGCACTTGGCAAGTATATTGGGGGACTGGCAATGCCAGGCTGGTTAGATACTTAAACTTACAAGCCTATTTGAAATAAGCATTGCCGTTTTACTTGTAAGCAACCTATCCAAGAAACATGAAATGATGTGGGCAAAATCCCTGACAAGATAGTTAACAAGTGGAATGGCGGGGATTCCCATCTGGGTCAATCAAATCAGCAGCCCTTGCTCTTTGGACTATTAACACCCTTTCTAAAGACCGGTCAACAATGCAGTTGAATTTAGTATGCTCAAGTATGCTCAAAGAGCTATGCATTCAATATGAATTCTGTTGAAATGTGTTCTCGTCTCTCTCTTTTTAGGTTGGAATGCCGCTGTGTTGCAATCATCCTACCTCAGCCTACTGAGTAGCTGGGATTACAAGTATGACCCACTACCCCCAGCTTGAATTTGGTTTATATTTGATAAGGCTTGTTATTACTTGAGACATAAATTAATACTTCCTAATCTGTATCTTAAACTCTATCATCAAGATTTCTTTTTCATCCTAAAAAATGAATAAACTGCTCTCCCTTCAACCCAACTGCATGCTTTACTTTTGCTTTGATAGGGGTTTTTTTGGTAGCACTGGGGTCTGAACTGAGGGCCTCATGCTTGCTAGGCAGGCACTCTTACCACTTGAGCCACACGTTCACCTAAACAAAAGTTTTGGTTTTTTTTGTTTTGTTTTGTTTGTGGTACTTCACCTTGAGCACTCCACCAGCCCTATTTTGTGAAAGATTTTTCCAGATAGGGTCTCTTGAACTATTTGCCTGGGCTGATTTGGAACCTCAGTCCTCCTGATCTCCACCTCCTGAATAGCTAGGATTACAGGCGTGAGCCACCAATACCTGGCTAAACAAAAGTTCTTATGTCTATGTTTTCCAAGATCATAGGCTTCCTTAGAGAAGTCATTCTTAGATGTAAAGTTATTGAAATTAAGATTATCACTGCCAAATATGGGTTTCAGTTGGAACCTTCTGAATTCTAAGCCCTATGATGGTTTTTTAATTTATCATTTCTACTTTGTTATGTTAAATTATTATAATCATTGTATTGTTTTGGTTTTTTGAGGCAAAAAGCCCAGGCTGACCTTATGTGCCAGGCATCCTTGGGAAGAGGCAGCATAAATATTTCACCCTGATAGGAACTTTTTAGGTTTAAATGGAAGAAGAATTGGGACAGAGAGTGAGAGGTATGTGTAATTAAGCAGTTCCAGGTAAAGTGTGGACTGGTTGATCATTTTCTCAGTTCTGTTCTTTGTGCAGTTCAAAGAAGTTGTTATCCCTGTCATCACTTGAGGGGAGCAAATCAGGTCCCCATGAAATGATTATTCATGCTCCAGGGTACAGATGCATTATTATAGGTAGTTATCCTCATTTGAGGGGAGAATTTGTCCTGTGAGGCTCTGCTGTTCCTTGGGAGTGGTCTTGTTCCATTGTCATAAAGATGTTATCTGTCAGTCCTGTCATTCTCAGAATCCAAGGTGACTACAAAGAGTAGAGACTTAACAAACAAGACTTGCAAAATGGAGGCAAGGACTCCAAGTTTGTTTTTGCTTTCAGGGCCTTAGTACTTGCTAGGCCCTGCTGTACCACTTGTGCTGCTCTGCCAGCCCAGATGCCAAGCTTTGATCCTGCTTTTAGTTAACTTGTTGGTCCAAGTGAAGAGTCAGTGCCTTTTAGCAAAACCAGTTTCTAAGAACCTGTTATAATACTTGACAGTTACTTCAGAAGGAGCAGAAATTGTTGGGGGAAGTTACATTTAAAAGATACGGGGGCTAGTGGAGTAGCTCAAATGGTAGAGCCCCTGCCTAGCAAGCAAGAGGCCCTGAGTTCAAACCCAAGTACTGCAAAAAAAAGGAAAAATGTGTATCTTTTGATTTTTGACATAAGCTATAAATGCTTGGGGCCCAGTGCCAGTGGCTCATGCCTATAATCCTAGCTACTCAGAGGCAAAGATCAGGAGGATCAAGGTTCAAAGCCAGACCAGGAAAAGAGTTTATGAGACCCTATCTTGAAAAATACCCAATCAAAAGGGGCTGGCAGAGTGGCTCAAGTGGTACAGCCCCTGCCTAGCAAGCATGAGATCCTGAGTTCAAACTCCAATACTGCAAAAAACTATAAATGCTTTTCATTATTTGAATAATGGATGTAATGTTAGTTTTGTTCTCTATTCATGTAATGAAATGTATTCATACATTTTGAAAAACAGTTATTTCTTATTCATTACTTTTCAGAGCATTTAAACTCAAAAATAAAGTTACTATGTACGCCTTTCTTTTTTTGTTACTTTAAAAATTATTACTATATTATTGATGTACTGAGGATACATTTACAAAAGTGCTTACAATATGTCTTAGTTAAATTCTCCCACTCCATCATTCTCCTTTATTTTCCCCCTCATCCCCACATAGGCCTTTTTATTGCTGGCTATGATTTTTCTTTCTGTCTTCCCTATGAAATTGTCCCTGTGGATGCTGAAACAATTCTCTAAATATATGGAGGCATCATAAATTCATCTTGTTTATGTTATTACATAGGCCAAGACAGACATTGTTGTCTAGTGATATTTAATCAAGGAAATACTTTAACTTCCAAATATATGTCAAGAAGTACTATGGCCATATCTGTAATCTTAGCCACTAGGGAGACTGAGATCTGAGGGAATCATAGTTCAGGCCAGCCTGGCAAAAAGTTTGATTGAAAAAAGCTGGATGTGGTGGCACACGCTTGCATGCCAGCAATGGCAGGAAACCTAAAATAGGAGGACTGTGGGCCAGGCCAGTCTGGTCAAAAAGTGAAACCTTATCTCCAAAATAATTAGAGCAAAAGGGTTGAAGGTGTAACTCAAGTAGCAGGGTGCCTGCCTGACTAAGCCCTAAGGCCTGAGTTCAAACCCCAGTACCACCAAAAAAAGAAAAAAAAATACATGCTATGGCTGATAGCTGACATTTTCAAATCTTCAAACTAAACTACTAGTTCTGGTTCCACAAATGTTTTCCTCTAGCTCTTTGATTGCGGTGCTTCCCTTTATTATGTATAATCTTCCCTGTCGTTCAGTTATCAACTTCACTACCACCAGAGTGGTGGCTTTTACTGACTTCAAAAGATCAGGATAAGAGCCTCTCTTTCAGGCTCTGGCTGGACCCTGCGCCTATTGTGGCACTCCTCATAACACATAGAAATTGCTGTTTATTTACCATTTCTCAGGTTAGAGATACAATTGATGGGGAGAGGACTATATCTGTCTTGTCCATCAAAGTACTAGCTTGGCACATAATGTACACTCCATAAACATTTGTTGAATAAATAAATAATAAAAGTAGGAAATGAGAAAACTAACAGCCCTGGATGCTAGACCTCCATACTGAATAACTGAATGCATACTGTCCAATTATATTTAATAGTTGTCATATATTTTGTTCCGTATCTGTACATTTATTTAGTTTTTACTAGAACTGTTGAAGTGCACAGATTTTTTTTTTGGGTGCAACTGAGGTTTGAACTCAGGCCTTCACACTTGCAAAGCAGTAGCTCTACTGCTTGAGCCACACCAGTCCATTTTGCTCTGGTTATTTTGGAGATGGGGGTGGAGGAGTCTCAGGAACTATTTGCATGGGGTTGGCCTCGAATCATGATTTTTCTGATCCCAGCCTCCCAACTAGCTAGGATTAGAGGTGTGAACCACTGGTGCTTGGCTGTGGCGAAGGGTTTTATGTGAGAGGTAGCATGGTCATTTTTATGATTTGCAAAGATCACACTGAGGAACCAGCTGGGAGGAAGGGAGTCCAGGTAAAAGCAGTAGTGATAGTTCAGGTAAGATAAAGACCCACCCACCAGGGATGCCAAAAAAAGCAAGGGTTATAAAGGCCCAGACAAAAATAGAGGTGGTAGAATTGGATAGAGATGAGGAAATTGAGAAACTACTTAAGAGATAAAATATAATCTGATGACTGATCATCGGATGCGTGCATGTATGTGTGTGTGTTTGGGTAGAAGAGAGATGTTGGATTGGGTAACAGCTGGTTCCTGGATTTCTATAGTGGCTAACTGGATAGTGGATGATATCACCAGCTAAGGCAAAGAATAAAGAATGAGAAGAATTAGGTTCAGCAGCAAGTGACACAATTCAAAAGAGAAGTTGAAACAAGGAGGAAGTTATTATATTTTCTCTCATGTAAAAGACTAGAGGAATTGGTCCACCGCACATAAAACGATTCAATCTTTCTAGGTTTTTCTCTCT